CCCCCCGGTCTAATCCACTGCCAGGCCCCAACAGAACCTAATAAAAGATATACACTGGTGACATGTGGAAAACAGAACAGAGTATTTCATACAGTATACTCTCCAATTTGTTTGCATAAACAATAATTCTAGCAGCCTCCCTCAACCTTTTTAATGCACGGGGAAACTTAAGGCCTCATTCACACAGCGTAGAGTGGGGCCGTACATGTGGCATGCACGGCCATATCGGGGAAGGACTAGTGTTGCGCGTGATTGTATGCAGCAGCCTGTTCTCCTATGGGAGGATGCTGCTGTACGCTCACCCGAGCTGCACGTACGCACACAGGATCCACCCTGTCTGCGTCCCAGTACCACCCGCACGGATGTGCAGCTCGGGTGAGCGTACGGCAGCATCCTCCCATAGGGGAAGAACAGGCTGCTGCGTACAATCACACGCAGCACTAGTCCTTCCCAGGAACGGTCCAATATGGCCGTGCACACCGCACGGATCTGTACAGCCCCACTCTAGGCTGTGTGGATGAGGCCTCAAAATACCTTTCAGGTCTCGGGGAGCCCCTGCCATAGTCCCTGTATCCACAGCTCATGCTGCATTAGTCTGGTGGTCAATGGGAACAATGCCCTTGACATTGGTGGCCAGAGGGAAGAACCCACCAGATGGCTAAAAAGATCATTGGTGTAGGTGATAACTTACATGAGGGTCAGAAATTGTTCAGAGAACCCATAGCAACTTCAGGAGCAGGGGTGGGCGAACTTCGGCCCTCCAGCTGTTGTGAAACTTAATATCCCATGAGGCATTGCAAGATTCTCCAAAGCCACAGGCATGAGTCCCAGAGATAGATGCATGATGAGATTTGTAGTATCCCTGCAGATGGAGTTTGCTCACCCCTGCTCTGGAGGAACCGTGGTTGAGAAAGGATGATTAAAGTGCATCTCTAGGCTAAACCTCATTAGTTCTTGATAGAGTGGAGGAGAGTTAGACCATCTGGGGGGAATTTACCAAAACTGGAGCAGCTGCCCAGGGCAACCAATCACCTTCTCTCTTCAGTTAAGATTTGAAAATAAGAGAGAAGCTAAATTGGTTGCCCGAGGCAACTGCTCCAGATTTTGTTTGCTCCAGTTTCAATAAATTCCCCTCTCTGGGTGTTATGTACTACATTTTATGGCAGCGGAGATCACCACAGTGTCACTCATCATCCTGCTGTGCAGAGACAGACCTGAATAAAATGCACACATAGTACACTCCACATACAGGAAAAAGAGAGTAAACAGTGATGGAGCTGAAACTGCTCATCACATGGCGGCCCACCCACCAATCCTTACCCAGCACACTAGACTGCATATTAACACTTAGAGTTTTACCATACAGGTAGTGTAAACGTGGGGAAGATTTTCTCTCATTTCCTGTTGAGTCTCTGGAACAGGAAGTCACCAGAAATTCTCAATGGGACACAAAAAAAATCCTAAACCTATCCAAAGCAATACAAAGACGTTTTGGCTATACATATACTGTAAATATAACTTCAGCGTTATAAAGGCTTTCATTGTATCATAAATGGACGCTGAAACATATTTAATCCACAACCATGTCTTCCATCGATTGTGTACCATCCCATTGATAGACATTCCCCAACATATGGCTGTACATGGCCGCACCATGCCCCGATCGGACTATATGATAACGTAACACATACGCGGCCTGTGCAGGCCTACAACCCGGGGTCCGGGAGAGAACAGCAGGAAACACTGCAGGCTCCGTGTATACAGCGCTACGGACGGTAAGAGCTCGCACAATTACACCTCGCTATGCCGCCACCTCCATGCGCCCCGTCCAGGCCTGCTAATCCCGCCAGCATTTCCGCCATCCCGCGTAGATCCCCCCCGCACTCACCATCGCGGGCCGTGCCCATCAGCTGGTCCAGCAAAGCTCTCATCTGGGCCTGAGCCGACATTATTAACCGCAGCTGCTTGCCCCGGGCACCCCCGCAGTGCCCTCACCGACGACTATTCTCCCGGCAGCCCGCTAAGCCAGTAACAGCAGAGGATTGTGGGAGGATGGCCACACCGGAAGTGCTGCTTCTAGCATGTACAGCGTCCCGGGCGCCGAGGCGGATTGTGGGCGGTACAGCATCCTGGTTCACAATAATGAGTCACAAAAGTCATTGTTACAGTCGTGTACAGATCATGAGACTAGGCGGGATAGAAACCGATATATTGGCAAGTTTAGTTGTGGTATATCGAAGTGTTCCGAAACTACAATTCGCTGTATGCTGATTATCGTGACACGATGGTTCATACAATGTAGCGCCACATTGGTTTCTCAAGTATCGCTGAACAAGGCTGGGGAGTTCTATAAGTAAACGGGTGAGATGAGTGTATCAGATTCTTATTTTGGTTTTATAGCGGTTATCGATTAGGGCGAAGCCTGTTGCCGCTGTGCACGCTGGGAAATGTAGTTCGGCCGATGCGCCATGGTGGATGGGATAGCCCCGCCCCCTGGTAGCTCTGTGTAGCTCCTCCCCCAGGCTCCATACTTGGTTTGTGGTCTGGGGAAATGCAGGTCTCCTTGGAGTGACTCGATCGTACGTCATTGTATGCTCGGCTTGCGGTGGAGCGCCTGATCAGGTATGGATGATATTGACGTTCTGCTCGATCACTGTTGTTTTACTAGTTTAGGGGAATAAGCCTTTGTATAGTTTTTAATGCCTGTGACAGGTCGATGCAGTGTACTGTCTAGTTATGACAGTTATGTGTACGCGCATGTTTATACTCGACTGTAGACACAAAATAATGACAATCGGGTTTAGAGACAATGTCAAGTTTGCCATACACTATACAATCTCCTTTTAAATCTACTAACAGCTATGTAGTGCGCGGACCTGCCTGATTGGATTTGTTTGGCAGGTCCTCATGTTACATAGTGTTAGTAAATTTTAAGTTGATTGGACGAAGATTGTGACGTGTATGGTAGCCCTTCAGTAGATTGTACGATCAGATTGTATGGTCAGACGGCCCATGACTTGGTCTGTCTGGGCTGGAACAACAGAGAACCAGGAGTTGCTGAAGAATCCATTCAAATTGTGTAATCCCCTAATATAGGGAATTATTGCCATTTCAATGATTTTTCTTGCTGACCGGTGGAGATTATTCGTGATCAGGGATGGATTTGTTTTTTCCCGCATGGACACACCTGAAAATAGCTCGGGGAATGCAAATTAGGGCTATATTTACATTTGAGACTTGGCGTCTTTGGTCTTTTTTGCGTGTTTCCACATGTTTTCTGGCTTGAGCATTTTTCTTTTGTTTTAGCCAATGGACAGCTAGTTAGTAAGAGGAGGACATGGCTGTTAGGTGCGAGCGGGTTTTTGACGGCGTTCCCATCGAAAGTCTGTTGGGGTAAAAAACACGCGATCGCACCTGGGTGACAGGTGAATGGCGCTGAGGTGCTCAGCTATCTTGAGGGTACGAGTCATCTTTGCGATAGTTTAAGAAGTGCTCAGGAGGACTTCTAGTATGTGCGTCTGTTTGGAGGTCTTTTAGTGTCGCAAATGTTGTACACAAATAGTGCGCAGTTGAAATATTATGCAAAATGTCACAAAACATGTTCAGTGAGTTGCAAACATTATTATACCGCAAGAACACTTAAAAAAGACGCATAACAGAGATAAAACTCTGCTGTTAGCATGACATTTTGATCTTTGCGCCTAAACATTTTGTCGCAAACACCTTCATAAATCCCCCCCCCC